AGTTAGAACTTGTCCAAGATCTTATCAATTCCAATGATCACACCAAGTTTCATCAGAATCAGTTGAAAACTGTAGCTTCAATCCTGCTCACGAACAAATTTTAACAAATTTCGATGCGTTTTAACAAAGTCAAAGGCAATAACTCAAAAATCGTTCATCGAAAATCCGTAAAGTTAGAACTTGTCTGAGATCTTATGAATTCCCATGATCACACCCAGTTTCATCAGAATCGGATGAAAACTGTAGCTTCAATCCTGCTCACAAACAATTTTTAACAAATTTCAAGGCGTTCTAAGTCAAGGGCAATATCTCAAAAACCGTTCATCGAAAATATGTCAAATTCGAACTTGACCGAGATCTTATCAATCTAAAGCATCACATCAAGTTTTATCAAAATCAGATAAAAACTGTAGTCTCTATAGTGCTCACAAGAAATGTTGACCGACAGACTGATGCACAGGGGCGACGACAATATACGACCACATATTCATGTGAATTGGAAAACAATAGATTATTTCAATTTGCTAAACATCTGAAGAATTCTGGATATAAAGACCACACAGAAACTGCCTTTAGCAAAGCAAGGGAAAGATCACGCCATGAACTGCTATTTCCCCAACACCAAGCAGAAGAAGATGAAAAGAAAATGAAGATTATTCCATGGACTAACACCTATGACCCACAGACCAAATCTACACAATATGGCCTAAGACACAGATATTTTAAGGACAAGCTACAGAATGACAGACATATTAAAAACAAGGAAAATCATTGTGGCAGGACGCAGGAATAGGACCTTGGGAAATTTATTAAGGGAAAACAAATTAAAACAGTGTGTAGACAATGTGAATATTTTTAAAAGTGTGGGATGTGTACCTTGTAATAAACCTGTGCAAAACTTGTGAAAAGATGAACACAACTAACACAATCACCAATAGACACTCAAAATCATTTTATATCAAAGACTCTTTAAATTGTCAGAGTAATTTTGTTATATATTGCCTTACTTGTGAATTATGTAAATTTCAGTATGTTGGCCAGACAATAACCCCCTTCAATATTAGACATAACAAACATAGGAGCAACATTAAATTGAAAAAGGTTCATAAAGCTCCTCATATTGCCCCCCATTTTAACCAACCTGGTCATGATTATAAATGCACACTTCTTGAGAAAATTCCATATGAAAGCAAAAGCAAATTAGACAGTGCAGAAACTCTGTGGATTCATAGACTTGACTCTGTATGGCCGTATGGATTGAATGAACTCAAACCAGGAGGTTTCAAAATTGCTAAATATTAGTGTATTAAAGGATGGTATTTGATGTCAAGTTTTATTATTTATTACACATATTCATGTGGGCGTATAAAAACTGTAGTCTCTATAGTCACGGTTCATACAGCACTTTGCCTCAAAAATTCAAAGACTTTTTAAGGTCTCTGGGCTTTGAAATTCAAGGACTTTTCAATGATATTAGTGTGACAGAATATTCATGTACCTAACTTCTGAACTGTGAAATCAATAAAGATAGTTAATATTTGTCAATGGGGTTAATCTGTTCTTTGCCTGAAGATGTGTGTGTATTTGCAAATCATCAGGAAGTTTGGTTCTCTTGTCTCCATTACGTGTGTATGTGTAGGCTAGTACTGGTGGTGCTTACAAGAATGGGTAGTTATAGCCTAGTCCTTAAAACCCATAAAATTTCTACTTTCATGGCAGCATTACCAGCAGACACATAACTTGTCACATTGCTACTTGACCTGCTTTGAAGAGGTGGTAACCTAGGTTTTGATCGGTAGGGATTGTCACCGCCACCAACAAATGAAGAAACTGCCATTATCTGTCCTTCTATTGACTTTCACTACTCATGTGAGATTTCAGAGCTGCTTGTCCCATTTTGCCAGGTTTATAGTTTTGTTACGAATTGAACAGCGAGCATGGTTTTGGTTATCTTTAACCTCCATTTTTCTAAATTCACTCATTTGTAACCACAATCGGTTAAGAGTACATCATCCGGACATAGCCATAAACTTAGATTAGAACAATGGCGGCGATCAAGATGTACATGTTACCAAGGAGACCATTTCCCAGTGGGCCCAGCTCTGAAATATTACTTTTTTGGAACAGGTCATTCTGCCAAATTAGCGAAAAAAATCACTAAAATTTTGTATAATTGGGAATTGATCAAATACAATGAAAAACTAGAACCACTCATGGTACTGAGTGGGACTTTGCTCTTGTGCCAATTTGCTAGAGAATCTGAAAAAATCAACGTTCTTAGCCATTTAGGTCACGTGCTAAAGCAGTCAAAATTTTTGAAAATTTCTCTTTTTTGGAAGGTTGTGAAAGCGAAAGTAGAAGTCAGACATAAAATATGAAAGTATGATTAGATTTCCAAGGTCAATGACCTTTGACCATGTTAAGGGGAAGGTCATATAAGGTCAAGGACACTAGATATGAGTCATCAAACTTTGAAAATACAAACATTATAAAACCGGAAGTTGATGGTGAACATCAAATATGAAGGTATTAATCTTTAGCCAAGGTCAATGACCTTCGATCCTACAAAGATCAAGGTCATCAAAGGTAACGGTCAAAAGTTGAAAATATGTAAAATTTAAACCCTCTTCCTTTTTTTGAACTACGAAGCTGAAGCAACTGACCTTTTCACACGAACTGGCCAAAGGGGTGAGGTAATTGTGTGCAAGGTCCTGTTTTGAACAAATGTAATTTAACCCTAATGTGCCACGCCCACCTCAACTTTTTTGTCATAAGTTAATTCATATTTAAAATGTCTCGTTGTGTTCAGAATCCACAAATTTAACCCTCAAAATTAATTAGGTTACGAGCTAGAGCAGTCCAAATTTTCGAATTTGGCTGTTTTTGGACAGTTGTAGAACCGGAAGTAGACGTCAGAGGTCAAATATGAAAGCATCAACTGATAGCCAAGGTCAATGATCTTAGACCCAATAAAGGTCAAGGTCATTAAAGGTCAAGGTCAAAAATTGAAAATATTGAATTTTCAAAAACCTGTTCCTTTTTTTAAATTATGAAGCTGAAACAACAGGAACTTCTAAGACAAAGTGGGTCTAAGAATGATGTAAATGAAATATCATTTCAAGTTTGTTTTATAAATACGATTGTTATATATCACTGGAAAGAGCATGAGAAACACATTAAGAATCCGAAAAAAAATAACCCTTTAGGTTAATTAAATAAATCACATGTTAGAGCAGTCCAAAGTTGCGAATTTTGCTTTTTTCGGACAGCCATACAACCGGAAGTAGATGTCGGAGGTCAAATATGAGAGTATCAGCTGGTAGCCTAAGCAAATGACCTTTGACCCAATGAAGGTCAAGGTCATTAAAGGTCAAGGTCATGAGATATGAGCATTCAAACTAATAAAAACATTCAACCGGAAATTGCAAAAAAGCAAAAGGGAAATTCAAAAATCGGCTTCCTAGTTTTTGTTGGCAATCGATTGCAGTTATACATACACATCAAAATTATATACACCCACTTCTCCATAGAAGCCCCATTTTTCGTTTTACAAAAGTGTGTCATATCAAAATGGCGACCAAAATATCGCTTCCGGTTCAAATTTTTTCTTCTTCATTTTTTTGTAATAAAGTTGACTACCGATCAATATTTGTGTCGTTGCTCTATATAAATTACACCGGAAGTTATTCAACCGGAAGTAGATCTGAAATTCAGTCGTTTTCCTGTTTAAAAGCGGAAATGAAGTACAATATTTGACTGTACTATATTATTTACATTAGTGAAGTCTCTTTGCGTTTAAGGGGATGGTAAGCACCTAAAACCATTTTTTTTATTTATGAACTTATCTTGGATTATTTTATTGGTATTATACCTACAATGATCCTATTTGAAAAAATGGGGTGTTTTGATCTATAGGTATCATGGTTACCATGGCAACGAAAAATGGCGGGAAAATTTATGCTATATACTAGGAAACATATTTCTCAGAAAGTATTCATATTATTGACTTGAAATTTTTGGAAGCATAAAACAGAATGTTTCTGCATACAAATAAGGAGTTTTAAAGAAATTGGAAAAATAAAAGCAAAGATATGGCTCATAGAAGTTGAGAGAACGAAAAAAAGGATTATGTGATGTTGCTATAGCAACCATATCTCAGCAATAAATGGCATTATTTTTTCAAAACTCCTTATTTGTATGAAGATTTTTATACTTTAGGTACATGCAAAATTTCAGTTTGCTATCTGTAATAGTTTTTTCAAAAAACCTTTCCCCAGTTTGGCATTTGTTGAAAAACTCATATTGGAGATAATGGCTTTTGAAGATCAAAGATAAGTCACATTATGGCGCATTCCTATTTTTAAGCAATTTATTATGCCGACAGCTTTATGGTACATATTTCTATGCATATTGTTGAAAATGTAATTTAATTCATAAAAAATAAGGCATGTCTTGTAGTTATTTTAGGTGAAGAGGATTGTACATTTGTGTATAAGTTTGTGCATTTGAGTGTGCAGTTGTGCATAACTTTCTATTTCACTACAGGCAGATGATTCATTCTACGTTTTATTGACATAGTTAATAAAGATGCTTTTTAGATAATATTATCTGTGTCTAGGACCAAGTTGTCAAAGTAGGGTAGTTGAGGCTTTCCAAATATCTATTTATGTGCCCAGGACCTTGGAAGTCTTTGTTGACATAGTAGGGTAATGCAGAAACAGGATTGATTCAGGATAATTAACATGTAAGATGGCTATTATCATTGCCAGTTTCTAACACATGGTATTGGATTCTGAATAAGATAACAAGTAAGAAAACACTCTAGTTTATGTTATAAGATTTATTATCTAAAAACTATATAAAAAAAAAAAAGCAAAAAAAAAAAAGAGAAGAAAAAAAAAAAGAAAAAAAAAACAAAGAAAAAAGATAGAAAAGAAAAAAAAAACCCATGATCAAAATCCCCCTGGTAGGTAACTGGCACATTCTTTAGACTGTTTCTTTCAATCTGACTTCAAAAATTCTAATTCTTTAGATTTCCTTATTTTCTTGAATCTCTCTGTGCCTTGAAATAGTGACTGGCGTTTTCTTTCAGCATCTCTTTTCAAACAAAAGTTTTCAGCATTACAACTGGGGACTAGTCCTGCCTTCTCCATTACTATGAGTGCTGATTTACTACCTTTGTTGAATTCCATACAGCATAAATTCACAGCATGACAAACAGACTGGTAGCTAGTGAAGCGATGTTTTGGAGCTTGTTTCCAAATCAGTTGGTTGAATGACTCATTTGCATTTTGTGTCGCTCCTCTGATACAACCAGACAGCAGGGTTTTGCTACATAACCTCTCAAACACTGACAAAATTGCTTGTGAAATACGTTGTGGTAGGGGTGCGGTGTGCTCTCCTCTTGAAGGTGTTGATATACCTCTAGCTAGCTGTCTTTGGTACCAACACCAAGATTCTGGACCAGATGGGCATCTGTGATGCTGATTTTCATCATCATCAAAGTGATGAAGGTAAATGGCCCAAGTACTCCGGTACATAACCTCTAAATCTCCAGCATTGTCTTTGATGGCTCTTCCATAATAATTTTGAATTGCCTTTACTCTTTCTTTGGTAAGTCGACCCTTTCCATCTATCGGTTCACCCTGGGCTTTAAGTTTGGTTATGACTGTATCAAGACCATTCTTCATTCTCTTGCTTATATGGTTCACACAATCTTCATTTTCGACGGGATGTTCTCTACCATATGGTCCATTTCCGTCATTAAGAGCTGTGATGCGCCTAAAAACACTACTATCACCATCATTCAGCAAGTGGGTGTACCGAAATCCATACTTTTCAACTGATCGGTTAAACATCTTAAGGGTGGCTTCAGTTTCCATGGATTTAGACGAACCAACATGGTTGATTTGACAATTGCTCTTGTGACCTTCTTACCATTCGCCATACTCTATCGAAGATTTATCCATCTTGTTCTTGGCACAAACATGGCAGTAGTTTGTCAAGACTTCAAAATCAAGAGCAAGTCCAGTCAGCAAATCTGTTATAACTGTTACGTTGTACTTCGAAGAAAATCCTCGTTTCTGCCAAGTTCCATCAGAAACTACATCAATATCAATGATATCCTCGTCTTCATAATCTGGATGAACTTCTGTGTACGCTTTACATATAATTTTAGAAGTTTCTTGAAGATGATCTTGAGCTGATTCAGAACTAGCTGCTTCTAACTTCTTTAGATGTTTTGTAAAAGCTTCTTTTCCGAGACTTGATGGCATATCAAACACTTTTGAAAGTTTATCCAGATCCGCTTTCCCAACACCTAACTCTTTCATAGCCATAACACACCTTCTGTTAACATCAAATCCTGTTGTATTAGGCCTATTGGATTCATTCACATCTTTAAGTCGTTTGGAGGTGCTGGCACTAGATATAACAACCTGGCAAGCAGAACAAATCACATCAAATTTAGAAGACAGACCTCTGTTGTTTTCTTCTTCTAAGGCACAATTCTCAAGACTATTGTTGCATTTTGGACACTGCAATTGTGAAATTAAAGATTTTAAGAATGAAACATCAACAATCCTGTATCCACACAAGTCTTCTTCATCTAAATTTTCATGATGGAATTTACTCAACTTCTTCTCAGTAGCTGATTCTTGAAAATTACTATCACCATTATTACTATCAACCACCTTGTCATGTAGATCTAGGTCACTGCTGTCACCACTAACAATAACATCAAACGACGTTTCTAACTTATCAGTCGATCTGTTGACCTCGCGAAGAACAGTTCTGGATCGCCGGCGCTTTCCTTTAAACTTATTCAAGCTTGAAAATGTTTTAGATGGCATTTTACATGTAAAATCTAGCTAAAATTCGAGATTTCTGTAAGATTTCTGTCAGTTTCCAGACGACTTCCGGAAAGACGTGAATTCGCGTCTGAGCATGCGCGCACACATAAATTATGACGTATCGCCTTCTGATTGGCTTAGAAATTAGCTATTTATAGTCAGGCCAATGGCAGGATTTGTTTTGGTAAACACTTGCTACAAATTAGGCCAAGTCTTCCAAATATGGATTGAACACACATTGTCAGCGTGATAATGTATTGTTTATTATCTTCTCACGCTCCACTTAATTATAAATATGGCTGTGATCAATCGAAAGTATGGCACGTAACATTCTCGTAAACATCGGCCATTTCAAGCGAAAATCGACGTGAACATGCATAATGCCGTAACGTAGGGTTAGTAAAAAATCAATTATTCAAGAAAAAAAAATAATTTTGGTGAAAACGGTATTTTTTATGTGTAAGAGGAGAGATTTTTACATCAAATAAGCCTGAAATATTTTTTTCCAAAATTTCGTCATTTTTATTGACACAGGGTGCGAATGATAGCCTTAAAATTTCAGATCAATCGATGCAAAAACAAAAAAGTTGCAAAAAAATTTGATCGAAAAAAGTGAGCTACGAATTTTTGAATTTCGCAATTTTACACCATAGAAGATACTTACCATATAATCCAGGCCCCCGTTTCACTAAGGTACGTAAGTATTTACGTAAGTTTTATACTTACGCATAACATAATTATTTACTTACGTCCGTTTCACTATATCATGCTTAAGTATTTAGTAAAAAAAGTGGCGTAAGTACGAAAATGCGTGACGTAAAATCAATACATGATGACGTAAGTCACGCTAGGCCTAAATAAATCGTCTTTCACTGTCACTTTTGTCAAAATGGCATCATCCGCAAGAAAACATAACTGGTTCAATTATGAAATATCGGAATTTTTCGAAGCTGTTATGAAAATTTTTAATACAATTTGCGCCTAGGTCAGTCCTGGGGTGATCAGTAAAACCAAACACGAAGCATGGTCGGTGGAAATGGAAAGATAAATAGACCTAATCAAATATTGAAATGAACACTTCTAAAGTTAAACTTGCTTAGTTAGCATTGTGTTAAACTCTAAAAGCAATTTTGAAATCATTAAATAAAAGACACGTGAATAATATTATGGATAGGGTAAAACACATGTTCTTCAAATGCATTTCTATCTATAAATAACCAATGAAAGTTTAGATACACCACTTTCGTTTTAGTTAATCACATCGCCGACATCAAGTTTATGAAATTCGACATGACGTGCCTATAATCTGAGGTACGATTTCTGGAAACTCTCTCCTTTCATTCTTATTAATTGTAAATACATCCTGTCCATTAAAAACTAATTGTCGGCGTTTTTCTAACACTAGATCAGTTGCCAAAACGTACTTATGCCTGCTTGTAGTTGACGTAGGATTTAGGCGACATATTTACGTAAGTAAAAATTTACGTCTTTTAGTGAAACGCAAATTTTACCTACATTTATACTTACGTAATTATTTATACTTACGTACCTTAGTGAAACGGGGGCCAGAAGGCTCCATATCTACTAGTCATGATGGCCATGAAAATGTTGAAATACGTCAAAGAAAAGTATGACCCGCTTTGATCACCTGATTCTTATGCTCTCCCCTAAGGGAGATTTCACAGATTGACTGTAACATGTGTTAGTCTTGGAAACAATGTCTGTGCATGTGGAAAACCAGCCGAAAATAAGCATAATATGCTTGCTTGTCATTTTACCTCTGAGTGTCAAGTAGTTCAATATAACAATGCCTTATTCAAAGTTAAGACATCGTGAATGGACAAATAGAAAAGGATTTCAAGAGGGCATATAAAATAACAAATTGTTATAACAAATAACATCTTACCTCAGTGTTTTCTTCTTGGACTTTTTCTATTTGCTCTTGCTGCATTTTTTTAAGAATTTCCACTTGTCTAGAATGTTTCATGGCTAATCTTTTTCTTTCTTCGATAAATTTTTTCATATTATTTTCATTTAATTCCCGGATTCGCCTTAAAAATTCAATAAGAAAAATATATCAATCATTATCACAATAGTTATTTTCCAAGACTTAATATAGTCTAGAAACTTTTGGATGGAGACTGACTTACTCTAAAAAGATTTCAGTCCATCTTGCCCATCAGAAGTAATATTTTTGTACTATAGAATTTTACATGAATATAGAAGCTCATGGTTGTACAAACATTTTTTCATGGGGCATCCTTGAATTTGTAGTATAGCAGTATTGCATGTGATGTTGATTAATTTAAGGATTTACATGCAATAGTTTCAAAAATATAGGGAATGCCATGTTTGGCACAGAGTTGACTTATTCTTATAATTGCCAGATATGCTTTATCACGTTAGGCCCTTTGTAATTAGTGACGTCATCAATCACATAGTTTTAGTGGAATCGCAGGAACCACAGAGGGACGTCTGGTTGAAAATTGGAATGATGCAATCAGTGTCCCGATACACAAAATTAAAAAAAAAAAACTCTTTACAATCCCTTTAACAAAAGAAAGCTTTGCCAAGCACGGTTATATACGCCTGCTGGCAGATTTAAGTTTTGAATAAAAAATATTTAGCAGTACAGTAACAATCACCAGTATGAAATATTCAACCTTCAGTCATACACTTCTTTTGAACTCTTTAGGGCGATACTGATTATTATTACCAACTTTTGTCAAAATCTTGTCAAATAGGGCCTTCTAGAGTGTTTACAGGCTAAAACTTGAACAGAATGATAAGTCTTGCCTTATATGACATGCAAACCAAAAAAGCTTGCAAGGCAAAGAAACATACACTCACTGGCAGCTATCAGACATAATATTGTTATTTTTTTCATAACTATATAAATTCTTTCATATTAAAGCAAGTGAATCCAACCCCCAAGAAGCTACATGTGGCTATATTAAGCTTAATATAAGTTTGAGTTGTATTGACATAATTTAGTCAAGTTTTTCTATGATTACAGGAGACAAAGAATCATGCAACGAAACTGTTGACTAGAGTGTGTATGCTACACATATTACAGCTCTATAAATATCTTTTGAATCCTATCAAAGGAATATTTAGCACTAATCAGGTCCTAATTAATAATACATCACCAATTTCACAAATGTGAATATCAACCCTGTTTGGACCACTTTTAGGAATTCAGATACTTAATGAATAGTTAAGGCTCACCTGTCTCTTTCAGTCTTATATTTAACAGATTTATCATTCAATACAGCTTTACTAGAATCCATAGAATGTTTAGCTTGATTTCCTTTTAACTCTTTATTTTCCCTAAAAATATATAAAATAAATCTATTATGAAATGAAATGAATGGAGTTTTACACCCATCTCTTCTGCACCTAATTAGGCTAATGAAGAGTCAGACTTTTTCTTTAACATGCACAGAACACAGTGTAACATTATTATATACTTATAATATAATCTTAATTGTAATCTGTCACTTTCAAAGATGGCTCCTGAACAGCTCTCCAATTAAACTGCCAAGCCTCCCCTCAAGTAATGCTCATCAGGAGTCCAGGGTTTCGATCAAGATGCTGGATAGTGGTTTCCAAGAGAAATCTAAATACGTTTATTAACATTCACATAACTTCACAAAAAGAACACAACATTTGACAAAGACATTACAAAACAAATAAACATTCCCAGCTTATGACTCCCTTACTCTTCAGGACAGGTTCACTACTAGAGCGGAACATTGAAGTTCCTGTAGTAGATTACCTAGAGTTCACCCATTCCAGGGATAAAAAACAAGCCGAATAGTCAGATCTTTACGGACTAACCATCTGTAAACACTTAAATCTGCGAGAGCAGTGTTGTAACTCCCACAGACCAAGCTTACAAAGCCAAACTCACCAAGTTCCAACCCACGACCGACTGACTAAATAATGCTGAAGTCTGTACCTTTGTACGTAACGAGGTTGTGCACTCCATGTGTAAAGCGAGACACCTTTTCCCATTATACCACATTTCATAACATTTGCTGATTGGCCAAAGTATCATGCAATGCTTTTGTATAACAAGTACAGCCCTATAATCTAGAAGAAACCCTACTTCCGGTTGAATGTAAACAACAGGAGTTACGTTAGTTACTAATATAGACAATTCGGGAATACACATACAATTATGTAACATATATACACAAATGCCCCACATTCCCCCCTTGTCAAAATTGACCCAACTTTCCCCCAAAAAAGTAGCAAGATCTCGTTTCCCTTCTTCTGCTGAAGATTGGTCAAACTGCAGGTACAAAGCTATGCAAATATTCCACATATGATTACTTTGTATTTTGTCCACCTTAAAAAATGACAGATCATTACATGGTGTCAGAATTATGGATTTAACAGGTATTCCACAGCCTACTTTGGACTGGGAGTCTTCAAACCTTTAAACAACACGTTGAGTTGGTATATTCAGGCCCACTTGAAGGAAAGTTGGAAGAGGTTAAATGTCCATATTTGTTACTGTGGGTAGGCGAAAAGGGATGTTAACAACAAGTGGTCAGACCTTACTCAAGAAATAGGAAAATATTAAATATCTATTATGACAAATATCAAGCATTCATCCTGCCAAAATTGAATCCAGTTTTTGCCAGATATAACCTCATCTATTGAACAGTTCCTCACCCGCCTTAAACTGTTGGCAAAAGATTGCTCTTACACTTATTCAGATGAGATGATCAAGGACAGGATCGTTTTTGGCAACAATTCGAGTAAAATTCTAGAGAAACTCATTAACGAAGGTGACCAGCTGACACTCACCAAGGCTATTCAAATAAGTCAAAGCTATGAATACGCCCAAGAACAGATGTTATCCAGACAAAACAGAATAAAGCTGAATTGTAAGTCTACGAGCTAAAAGGTGATGACAACAGAAGAAAAGCCAGGCCACGGCGACAGGACACAATTTCTCTAAATCAAACAACAACCCACCAACTTTCTGACCCATCCATCGAAATCCAGAAACTAAGAAAGACTGTGGAAACTTGTGGGTATAAACATTCTAATGTTTTTGAAATTTGAAAATTTTGCACTGATTTCTATAGTTACTATACATTAGATGGTTTTAGTCAAATAAACTCAAGTCTCGTAAAACAAAGAATATCTCAAAATCTAATAATTGTAAATTCTGCAAATTTTGAACAAAACTTAAGAAAGCTTGCCAGGAAATTCTGCCATGTAGAGTGTTTATCAGCTAAAAAATTGAATGTGTTATCAAGAGCAAGGGTAATAACTCATACTTAATATCTATTGATTCTTCTGAGTTTCAATCGGGTTTATCCTTGGGTGATTACAAACACTCTCACCAAGTTTTGTCAAAATCCGTCAAGAATTGTGCATACTAGCGTGTTTAAGAGCTAAATATTTAACGTGTTTTCAAGAACAAGGGCAATAACTCATACTAAATATTTTTCCATTCTTCTGATTTTCAAAAGGGTTCATCCTTGGGTGATTATGAACACTCACACCAAGTTTCGTCAAAATCCGTCAAGAATTGTGCCTTGTAGAGTGTTTACAACACAGAGGTCAAAGGTCATTGATCTTGGATGTTCAAACATACTTTCATCTTTGGTGTCTGTCAAAACTTTTATGGCTCATCTTTTTTAATTTAACCTTTGTTGACCTTTTGACCTGTGCTTGACGAAATCTTTTCAATAATATCTTCATTTTTACAGCGATTTGAAAATAAATTTTTCAGTAGCGAATGTTATCAAATTAATGAGACTTTTCACTACCAAACATGATGCAACTGCAGGAAAGTTGACCATGTGTTGGAAATTATTGATATAATCATCATGGACAAAGGAAAAAGCCAATTTGACACCTTTTTATAGAGTCAATGACAACAAATCAAAATCTGTTCACAGATTATTGGCAATTTCGAACTTAATGTATTTAATTATTTAATTCGTGTAGATATAATAAAACTGCATCCTCTACAAAATATGTAAATGGCAACACAGCAACATCAACATGACCAGAACATTAGGTACTAATACTATATCTAAACTTTTAGATTTTTATGATTTGAGGGTTACCCAATCTGATGAAGTATAATGCTCTTCACAAATTTGAAAAAAAATATTACCTGTCTTGACAAGATTCTAAGTCTTTCAATTGTTCCAAATGTGCTTCTTCTAATAATCGTACTAAGAGGTCATTTTGTTGACGAATGTGATCAAATCTCTGATCGTGCTCTTCACGTATATGGCGAACTAGCATTTCGGACCATTCTTTTGTCTGATCAGAAACTAACCCCTTTACCTAAAGTAAAAATAAGATAATAATACATTGTACATAGCTTGCAAGATGAGACAAGAGATACTCAAATAGCAGAGTTGTTTAATAATATTTGAAAGAGCAAATTACTTGACTACAAATGCTATATTTTAAGCCACATATGGAATGGAATGAAGAATTTCACTAAGTTTTGTGGGCAGCATACAAATACGACAGTTGCTATTTAACACTAGTGTGATAAGCCTGGTTAATAGCCAGAAGTATCCTTACAGCTATATCTCACAGCGTGGTAACTTGTTAAATTAGGCCAATGTCACCATGTTAGTCAATGGAGACAAAACATGTTAACTAAATTTTACATTTTAATCTATCTGGTGGAATTCATCCAATTTTTATTATTATTTAAAAAAAAATCACACTTTTTAGGTTTCAAAAATAAACATTACTGTAAGTAATGGTTTTTGTGCTGGCGATCTACTTTCGGTTTGTTTACCTTTTAAGTCTCGCAGGTTACCGATATGTATGGGATTGAGTACAATTGACTTTATCGGTCACTGCCCAGCAAGACGACTCAGCGGCTGACATCAAACAGAAATTAGATTAATTTTTGTGAAGACCTAACGTTTATTTCCGTGTTAATTACGGTTTTCTTTTCAAGATAAGTATGTTTTTATTCCATTATCTGTGTGTGTTGGCCAGCGACTGTTCGTGTACTCTTTACCATTGGAGTGCATTTCAATTCATTGTCAGTGCCTTTCCACATGCTGTGATTCTGACGGGATGGCGTTTCCTCTTTATTCCGTGAAAGGGAATTTTGATTTTATTCCTGTTCTCGAACCAGTTCAGGTGTCTCTGTTCGGTACTTCACATATAAAACGCCTAGCTTCCTTCAATTCCCTAACCCTAACCCGAAACGACCACCATCGTCGACTTTTTTAAGTCCAACGCTCAGGATTTTCAAGATAAGCATATTGTTCTACTACAGTTAGGATCTAATGATTTGTCTGATCCTGATTATGAACCAAACAAGGTAGCCAGAGACATATTTGCCATTGCTCATTGTGTGGTGCATGGGTGGAATCCCACGTGTGTTATTATCTCTTTAGTCCGAGAAATTGTTCCTGATGCCGAGTACAATCAAAGGGTGGGACACACCAACTTGGAATTACGTAGATTATGTGCTGATTGTGACACTATTTTTTATTGGAAGCATAAGGGACTGACTTGCCCCAGCAAACGCGTTCATGCCCCAGATGGTGTCCATCTCTCCTGGGATATGGGTTATTCTTTATACATTAAGAGTATCAGGGATGCTATTCTGAGACACATCAACCGTTTTTTCAGGGATTCTAGTGTAAGTACAATAGACTTCCCTTGATGGAAAGAAGGGGGGTGTCATTAGCATAGGCAGTATTATTTATTGGGCCTATATTTGGTATAGGTAGTATTACTAATTAGGCTTATCATTGTTGTAGGTAGTAAAATTATTAGGCCTATCATGGTCCAGGTAGTGTTGAGAATTGCGGCAACTAACAACGTCAGCTTTTGCACGTCGCCAATTAATCTTATCTTATCCTAATTTGTACCTAACGTAACGTTGTCATGTCAGAATTTGAATAGAATGTGAAATCAACACAAGTAGTTTTTCCTGTCTCTTTAAAACCAAACACAACGTGAAGCAACCTGTGAGACCGGGACAAAGCTAGCCGATCTCAGTGTTATTGAGATAGAAGACATTACGGAAGAATCACTCAATACAGATGAGTATTATTATGACTGAGATAGTAAAATTCACAAATTCAAGAAGTTTATTCAATCTTCTATAAATGCCACATTTTCCGTATTACCTCCTACCACAGCAGAGTCACAATCACAATCTGATTACGCACTCCAAGTCAAGAATTTTCACATTCAAGCTCACAATCAAGTCAAAATCTTCGCTTACCAAAGTTATCACTTTCGGAGTTTCACAGAGATATATTAGAATGGCAATATTTTTGGGAATCCTACGATTCTACAATTCACAAGAACCACACGCTCACCAACGTTCAGAAATTCTCATATTTGAAATCACTGTTGAAATCAGACGCAGCCAGCGTAATTTCAGGACTAACCATGACTAATCACAATTACAACAAAGCTGTTGAACTTTTGTCCAATCGTTATGGTCAAGCACATCAAGTCGCCAATGCATATATGAGAGGCTTGTTAGATATGCCCGCACCAGACGATTGTTTGCAGAGCATCAGATCATTCTACGATCAGAAGCTTATATTCGAGGTCTTGAATCGCTAGGACAATGCCAAGAAATGTTAGGTTCACTGTTGATCCCCATCATACTAGGTACATTACCGACTGAATTCAGAACAAATATAACCAGAGAAAACAGCAGTGATAATTGAACAATAAGAAGACTGCATGATTCGATATGTAAAAAGCGGACAATCCAAGAATCAGGTAAAGCTAACTACATGTACCCGAGTCAAGTAGCTACTCCTACCGCAAATTTCGCTGCTAGATAGAAAATGCATATACTGCGAGGGAGCCCATTCATTAATCGAATGCAAAGATGTAATTGAACATGAGATACGTTTAACAATTATCAAGGAGAAACAACTGTGCTTTAATTGTTTCGGTAGACATAAAATAACTGAATGTCAATCCAAATACGACTGTAGAAATTGCCACCGTAAGCACCATACGTCACTTTGTCAAAAGGGAAAAGACCGGAAACCAGATCATGAGAAGAAAGAAACCGAAACATTGATGTTTTACACATCAGCTACACAGGAAACTTCTACGGTTCTATTGAAAACAGCCGTAACGGAAGTCTCATTCAACGGAAATCAAGCAGAGGCAAACATACTCTTCGACGAAGGAGCACAACGCTCATTTATAAACTAGGATCTAGCCGACAAACTTAACCCAAAATTAGAAGGATCAGAGGCATTGAATATCACGTCATTCGGAGACAAAATCACAGGTATTAGAAATCTAGAGAAAACTACAATACAACTGAGAGCTACCGACAGAGAAGTCATTCCTATCAAACATTGCATTACCGCTTCAAAACCAGAGCAGGAAACTTACACGAAGTATGCATTATTTGAGACATTTATCGCTAGCTCATCCTATCACAGATGCCAAATAATTCGAGATATCACTCCTTATTGGAGCAGTGATTCGCAGAAATGGTCCAACTGCCGTAAGCTCCAAGTTGGGAGCCTAGTAAAGAAATTCCACTTCGATGATGGACGTTTTGATATCACATAATCAAACAAACTATGACTTAGAGAAGTTCTGGAAATTAGAGAACATTGGAATTGATCCGAAGGATACCAAAATGTGTAGTGAAATGTCAAATAACATGGAGAAATTCGTAGAAACTTCAGTTTCAAAGGAGCACGGAAAATATGTGTCAAAATTACCTTGGAAAGAAAACTGTCCGGAATTGCTGACAAATCAGGGAATCATCAAAAGAAGAACAGAGAATTTAATTCTCCGCATTTCGAAAGACCAAAGCATGTTTAAAATGTATGGAAACATAATAGCCGATCAGGAAGTTAGAGGCTTTATTGAGAAAGTAGACACAGATGAAAGCACAAATAATCAAATTCATTATATTCCTCACCACCCGGTGAAAAAATTAGAATTGTTTACGATTGTAGTTATAAAGCCAGCGATAAAAGTCCAAGTTTAAATGAATGTTTAGCAGATTACCGCACTGTGATGAATGAATTTACATCGATTTTAACACGTTTTAGAATGGAGATATATGCCGTGTTAGCTGACATAGAAAAGGCGTTTTTGCAATTAGAATTAGATCGAAAAGATAGAGATGTCACGAGATTTTACTGGTTAGAAAATCCGACAGGCCCAAACAGTAAGTTAATTACCTATTGATTTAGAGTAGTACTTTTTGGAGCAGTTTTGTGCAACATTGTTAAAGCGTTTTAAAGACAATCCATCAGCAACATCAACCGAATTACAGAGAACTTGTATGTAGATAACGCATTAACCAGTTTTCGCCATGAATCGGAACTCTTGAACTTTTATTCAAAATCACGACAACTGCTTTCTGACGAAGGCTTCAACTTGAGATCTTGGAACTCAAACTGCGACAAGTTGATGAGCATAGCAAACAAAGACAAAACAGCGGACAGTGATTAAATTGTGAAGATATTGGGTATGCGTTGGGACAAGAAGTCCGACAACATAATGTTTCAAAAGTTGAGTTTGACAGAAAACGAAAACTATAAAATCACAAAACAAGAAGTATTAAGCCAGTCATCAAGTGCGTAAGCAGTTTGTTGCGGGTCTCTTGTTAGTAACAAATTTAGCAGTCATGTTTTCTGTGAGATGCCCCCAACGTATTGCTGCAGAAAGTCTCTTTAATATTGATATGTTCATTTACAAAATCACGCTGAAAATATCCGGCTCCACGATACTAGCATGCATCGGTATGAGAGTGAAACAATGTCAATGGTTGCTGAGATGGATCAACTATTTTTGGCCAGCTTATATTAAATCCAAGGTCCCGGAGCATCATGAGCAGTAGGTCGTATCTGAATTTACAAGTTTCCCAGGTGTCAACTATCACAAGAAAATTGTCAAGATACACCATAATGCACGTCCATTATATGACATACAGCTGCTGAAAAATCTTAGGAGTGTCCAAAAGATAGCTTTGCATTATACATTTAGGAGGGAGAACTATCAACAATGAATGTCCCGTTAATTCATGATCGTTAGGGTGACAGTGAACATAGCGATAAGAGCTTTTAAGATTGATCTTCGCAAGATAAGAATTTGGACGGATTAGTTTGAAGGTTTGGCGAAGATCCATATATGAACAGTCGGTGTCCGAAGTAAAAGAATTTAGGCACGAATCGATAGGACAGCTTGCATCATGTATAAGTCTTATTCCAATGTTCAGCATTTACACTACACCCAAAGAGTTAACGATTATCGGAGGTCTATCCATTAGGACATAATTTCAAAGCCCGATTACCTCTTGAATCACT